TTTTTTTTTTTTTTAATTTACGTTTAGATGGACCAATACATGGCTCTTTCAAAAAAGGATCTGGTTATTAACATAACACTGAATGAAATTTACAATACACATGCTTTACTTGTACAACACCAAGAAGAGCTGGTAATTTGTAGTTTGTTTCACCTTTTTTACCTTTTTTTTTTTTTTGTGCGCTCTATAAAAAATAACCATACATCATTTTTTATAGGCTGCTTCAGAAAAAAGTCACTTACGAATACTTTTGGAAGAAGTAGGTCCGGCTCCACCTCAGGTTTCTAGAAAAGAAAATAAGACAGTAGAACTTCCTCTTTTCAGTCGATGGGAAACTCCTATACAAGGTCAATAATTTACTAGAAGATTCACATTTTATTTTTTTTATCTTTTTTTTTTTTTTGTTTATTAACACTTTTGTTTTATTTAGACATTGCCACAGCTCTTTTGTATGATAATAGTGTAACACAAAATGATATTTTATATATGGAAACTAAATCTATATTTGTGCAAATTATTCGTTCCATCCCAAAAATGACTGAACAGCGATCAATAAATCTTCTTCAGATTGCGGAGACAGCGGCAACTAGCAAGGATGCTACATTGGTTCGTAAAGGTATCAAAGTAAAAGAAATGCTTCGTGAGCTTGAAGATGCCTCTGTCATAGATCCTAAAGATGGGTACCGACTAATGACAGAAGAAGTCACCCAAGAATTAGCACATCTTGGCAATTTACGTGAAAAAGTCACAAACGAGATTCAATCACTTGAATCTGTATATAAGACTATATGTGATCATAATAATTATCTTCGAAGTCAGCTAGATAGTTATAAAGCTTATCTACAGAATGTTAGACAGCAAACAGTAAAAGATAGTGCTGGTGGATTTGGATCAAGCATTATTAAAGTAGGAGATAAAGAAAAGAAACCTACAAAACACAAAGCTTTGGGACCATATAAATTCACGCATACTCAATTAGAGAAAGATGGAATCATTGTGGAAAGCAATGTTCCAGAAAATCGGTCAGTTTTATTCGCAATATTTCATATAAATAATCTAAAAATTAAATATTATCATATTATCATTGCAGACGGCAGAATATTTTCTTCATTATCACTTCACCAATGCCGGGTACATTCATTATCGCACTTCATTACAAAGGGCGTGACGCTGCCATTCTAGAAATGGATCTCAAGTTAGACGATCTACTAGAAAAGGTAGCATTTTCTATATTAACAATTGACAATGTTTAATATTCGAATATCTAAATATTTATTATTATTATTATTTTTTAATAGCAACAAGATAATGTTGTGTCTTTGGACCTTGAATATGTACAGCTTAACGTGAACAAAATACTATATTTGCTCAACAAGACATTTGCAAAGCGAAAGACGTAGTTGTACATCAAACTTCTCTGTTTGTTATTTGATTTAATGTAAATTTATTATACTTTATTTATTTTGATTTTTTTTTGTCTTTTTATTTTTTGTTTAATAGGGATACTTTAAGTGCATGGGGCAAATTGTGCTTCCCCTCCTGCGTACAATATCCTGTTAATGGATGAAATATAAATGGGTTCACAGAATAAAACGCCTAGGATAGATCTAAAAACTCGAATACATAAAATGCTTTGTCACAATGAATATGTCAAATATTCATTATTGTAATCCGAAATCGCACCTTATTTATCGTTCTGATTACCCGCTACACTCTAACATATTAATCTCTAATTTTATTCGATGTACTTTTTTTTGTGATATAATAATAATTTATATAAATGAATGAAAAAAAAAATTCTTTTTTTTTTTTAATAGATTAACTTGGCGTTTATTTCATGGACTGGGGAGGCACGATTTGCCTTTAGAACTGTATTTATTAACAAAAAGAACACGTTATCATTTTTTACATACATATATATTTATATATACGTTTCATTATTTATTTCACTCGGCATTTTTTTTTTTTTTTCTTTTTCTAATGTGGGATATGAAACTTTCGATTTTATCGAAAAGGTTTAAAGTTATCCGGGTAGTTAGCCCCGGAATCTGATCGGCACATTATTTATAATCGTCATTGAACATGTAAATTAAATTATGAAACATCTTGCAATTAAGCATTTAGTCAATTAATTATTTTGTACGTGCCCTTTCTTATCGGTAATTATTAAATCTAGAAATTTTAATCAAACGCATGTTACAATTTACACGCACCAGTATTTGTGATTTTATTTCCAAAATTAGCCGATATGTATGTGTGTGTGTATAAATAAACCCTAATGACGGAAAACCGTCGAGTGATTATTTCTAAATTTAGCTGTAGTTAATTATTTAACAATAACTTTGTGTATGGAATTTAGTGTTTTTTTTCCGGTAAATCATAAGTACGTCCCGTACGACAATAACGGTAGTATAATTACAGGTAGGATCGTCCCAAATTAGGAGATGATGATCCCGATCATGCATATTAGATTTAGCCAATAAAATTGTAAATATT